GTAGACAATTTTGTAAAAGTAGGGGTATGTTCATTTGCTGTAAACCAGAATTATCTATGATTTATCGTTTAACTGACCGAATGTGCCCGAATCATGGAAAAGTTTCTAAAGAAAATAACAGCACCCAAAAATGTCAAGTAGATTCACTCAGTAATTCCCATTCAATTCTCATTTAAAAGGTATGTATAAACATAAACTCGAAGAAATATGATTTCACACATCGAATGACAAGTTGAATAAGTAAATAGTAAGAATTCTGAATAAACGTCTGCAGTGATTATGCATGAGAAATGTACAACGTATTCTGAATGACTTTTAATAAAACTCGGATAGTAGGGTTTTTGTTCCCTGTTCCCTTGTCGCCCAGCCTCGAAGTGTATGCACAAACAGTATTTTCATATTCTAGCTATGTAGGTCCAACCCAAATCTGATGAAAAAAAAATATCGAATTTTGGAGGTTTTGTGATACAGCTTTTTTTCACGGGTGCCCAAGGAGATGGAACGGCCGACTGTTTCTGCTGGAGTGAAAATATTTTCCCTATATAGGGAATTTCAGATTTAACCCTCACCATTGGGATCTCGGAAACTTGAAGGGATAGGAAGTCGGCTAAATAGGGGCAAAGTTGCGTATTCAGATAATCAGCAAAATGTCGATTAGAAAGTTTTGAAAATGAAAGTACTTCCGGAAAGAGACGTAAAAAACGAAATTTCCCAAAATGGTTTTAATGTTCTCCTGACTTTATCGGTGGGTTTCAACATAAATTGCACATCAACTCTGCCACATTTTCTCCTCTACAAGACGGCATAATAAGAATTTTAATATGACGTTTCGTCTCTTGTCCTCCAGCATCACCTTTTTCTTATACACGCCATATTGAATTCTTACACACATGAATAGAATTTATATTCTGATTTCAAAACTGTATATGTCATACATTGACATTGCAATGATTTTTTTATTACCATCAATAAAATTTTGATATTGTATTTAGGTTTCACAATATCTTTTTATTTCCTTTTAATTTTCATTCACCAAGAAATTTATGGTCAACTACAGAAGTACATCACTGAATTTAGGGCTGAAAGGTACATTCAAATGTACAAAATGCCAATATAGTGTCCGTATGAAAAAACAATTGGAAGTCGAAAGAATAAATGAAGGGTCGGCCAGAACAACGTTGTATGTAATAAGAAAGCTCAGTGGCCGAAATTAAGAAAAACACATTTGATCCATTTTTTTCAAATGACTGCGTCTATAGTTGGCCAGCACATTAAAGGAACAATAGTTATACAAGGTTATTGTAATTTACAAACGTGAGACCCATTTTGCAGCTATGGGAACCATTTTTATGGAAAACGCATGTAACAAGGTTGTATGATCACGTTACTTACAACGTTGTTACAGGGAGGCTTTAAATGACTATAAGCAAAACAAGTATTTTCAGCAGTTCTATTTATTAAGGGAACCAAAGTACACAGTAACATATTTTTAATAACAAAAAAATACGTTCTAAGTTCATCGACGTGTTTCGAAACCAAAACTGAAACTTAAATAAATATCACTGGGTTGCAGTTAATTTCTCATAAAATGTTACATACTTAAGAGGAATATAATCACTCGTATCCTCAAGGTTTTTTAATTTTTCATCTTTGATTGGAAGAAGGTTGTGTTACATTATATGTAATTTTTCAGATGATATGATATCAGTGGCAAAAGTCATTCTCTTTTTTTTTACGATCGCTTGTGGGAAATGAATTCCAGGGCTGCATAATATTATCAGATTTTCTCATTCTCAAACTAGCTGGAGAATCAGCGGTAAGTTGCAGCCACAATCCTTGTGTAATTTTACATTTAGGGTATTTCCATATACAATATTCCAAAGCTGTTAAATTCTCAAAGAAGGCTTGGTGCATCCAGACAACTTTAAAAGGGTTTTTAACTTTGGCTTTAGCAATGACATCGATCCACTGGAATGGTTCATAAAACATAGATATTCTTTTTTGTTTACGTACATACAACGTTGTTACGCGGAGGACTAAAATGGCGCGCTTTAAAAATTCGCGTCACAGTGATTGATGCGAGTAAACAGGTGGGTATATGTTGTCCACGGGTCCCAATAGGCACATACTACGTTGTTTGACGGAAATCTTATTTATTATTTTATAGAAAAATGTTATATACAACGTTGTTCCGGCCGACCCTTCAAATGTCGAATTGAAAATTTGACTACGCCATCTTGTAGACGAGAACAAATAACAATGACGATATGTAATTCATTTTGAAATCCCATCTCAAATAGTCAGGAAAAAAATAAAGCGATTTTGGGATAAATCTGGTGAGCGAAACAAATATTTGATAATTTCAAGGCCTACCTAAGAAATTCTGATTTTTTTTTTTTCGAAGTAACTAAAGTTTGGCAACGTCAATGTATTATGCAGTTTTTGACTCAAAATTATAGGCTCTATTCATATGTGCAAAAATGCAACATAGCGTCCTTAAAAAATAATAAAGTTGATGCTGGAGAACAAGAGACGAACCGTCGTATAGAAATTCTGATTATGCCTCCTTGTAGAGGAGAAAACGTGTCAATGTTAATGAGCAATTTATTTTAAGATCCCAATATAAATAAAGTAAGGAAAAAATCAAAACGTTTTTGGGAAAATTCAGTTTTTCTGTTCCTCTCCGGAAGTACTTTGAATTTAGAAACTTTCTAAGTTTCGTTTTGTTGACTACCCCATTTAAGCGACTTCGTATCCCTTACAGTTTTCAAGACTCCAATGGTGAGTGCCGAATTTCAAACACCCTGTATATGCAAACTCTTACCAGAAAAAAGAAGTAAAAATACTACAAGGATTTATACACTAAAAATCTAAAACATAACTACAATTACCAAGATCTGCTTACATAGTTATAAGTTCCACAGAGTTCCCAACATGGACAAAAAGGACTGAGACTACGAAAATACATAGAAGTAAGACTTAAATCGCGTAATTTCGCATTTTGCAACTGTAGCAAAAATATTAAAAAGATTAGTGATCACAAAAATCGTATTAATTATGCTTCTTGAGAGTTCTATCCTCTATTTTTCGGATTTTCCATACTGTATTCATAATCATCATTTTGCCATTACCGGGTCAATAAACAAAATATTGAGCACAAAGCACTTTGACGCTGCCTGATATTCAAAATGGAATTTCATTGAAATTTCTTCTGCCACTGACTCACCCGAAAATGTTACACAAACTTGTTTCTGTTTAATTGTGGCTCTGTTTTCTCCACAAAATTCAGGTTTTTGGGTTTCAGTCTCTCTTCCAGTAGATCTTCAAGGTCTTTATCTGCTTGGTATTTCGCTCAGTTTTTTTTTACACCGAAGCAGCCGCGCACTTGAAGCTTACTTGCCAGGCACCGCGGCTGCTCTGAGGAGCTTAAAGAAACTTTGTTATTCCTATTTTTGATCTGCCTAAAGTTAGTAGAACTGGGAAAAGCACCTCATGTGGATTGTTATACGATCTCGACACCCTCGGGACAAAGGAGCGGTCTTATCGGCCAGTTCTGGATGTACGAAGTTCGACGCGTTTATGATGAGAGGCCGAAGCGAGGCAGGCACATCGCGCGGCGACACCATGGAAGAGAGTTATGAGGAGCAAAGCCCGGTGGAGTATCTAGTACGCCAACGGCCCGTCGGTGCGAAAGTGTCCCCAGACCGTCTATTAGAGAAGAGTAATAGCAATTTTAGTCACTGTCAGTGCCTGACTGGTGTCGTCTGATCTGTCAGAAGGTTCTGTATGAACAGCGGATTAGCTGTCGGCACGCAGTCGAAACTGTAGGAACAGGTAACATCTCTCTGATTCTGATTTTGACAGTCATCGACAGGTTACCGACTACTGTACGAACAAACCAAAAATGGTTGCGTCATAATGAGTTGAAGAATAGGCATCAATAACTTTGATGTTACTCTTCCTATCAACTTGTGCATCACTTAGATGTATATACAAAGTGTTAGTTAAGTATGTACCATAAATTTAACAGACGACTCTCAGTAATTTTAAGACAAAAAAACAACCAATGAAAGTGTTTGAGGATATCAGCCATTGTACTGCTGCAAATGGGCAGTAGTCGTAATAGCACTTTTAGTATGATATTATTTAGAACTGCTTCTACAAACCTTAGCACTAAATTTGTTCATACAATTATGTACTAAATGCCGTCTGACACTATCCTTAATTTTATAAGAAATTTAACACAAAATGTTTTACACTCGGCCTTGAGAGTTGTCATCATAAGCTGTCATCGACGTCAGACAGGTTTTTCTTTGTTGGCCGTGTCTATTTATCATTTTGATGACAAAATTGGAACGATTTGTTTTATTTATGCTAAATATCAATAAATAATGCAATATAATAATACGTTTGTTTCCTCGGATTATTGCGCAATTACAGAGAAGTGAAAAACTGAATATAGATAACCAGCAGCAGTAAACTGTTCTGCCGGTTGCAGATTGAAGATTACGTGTCATATTCACGTACAGTGTTTCACAAAAAAAAACATGTTATACCCAAATTTTCTATTATAAATTATAATATGTGACTATGAAAAAAGTTAATCGAGAAGATGCATTTGAGCGAGATACTAGAGAAACTGAAAATAAAAACAGATAGCAGCAGCAGCAGAGCAGTTTGGTGCAACTGGTTGCCTATATCTAGTTTTTTACTTAGGTATCTGTGCTTGCGCTGTAATTCGAGGAAGGAAACACATTTTGCATTGTTTATTGATATTTAGCACAAATAAAATAAATCGTCCCAATTTTATCATCAATATACTAAATAGATAGATATGGCCAGCACAAAAAATCTTTCTGACACCAATGACCGCTTGTGATGACGAATGTTACATCCTACTGTATCCAAGAAGGTATCTGATATCCATTGTTTTCAAGGAAGCGTCATTGATCAAGGCCGGTCTATGAATCTTACTCTGAGTTTCTCTTTTTTCCTTCCAGATTTTGGAATAAACACCGGAACTCAATTGCCGGACTACCCTTGTGCCTTTGTATTTAATAGTAACGAATCCAGAAATGGATATTTTCACAGTCCGAATTACCCAGGTTTCTACCCGAGGGACACTGAGTGTCACTACTTTTTCCATGGTAACATCAAGGAGAAGGTCCACCTGCACTTTCACTTCTTCGACGTGGAAGGAGTACTACCGTAAGTACTGTGTTTAAAGTACCAATTTTACACTCTCTTCTGAGGAGTTGGGTTAACCCAGTATCAGATTTAGACATCTTTTGAAAAAAAAAAGAAAAAAATGAATTTCTGTGAGGAGGTATTCTTATTGTATCAATAAAGCGAATATGTCGTGAGTGCATAGAACCACGAAAATTTCACTTATCTTTCAAAAATGGAGGAATTGGAGTAATTAAAAGCTTATGAATATAACATAGTAATGGAATTTAAATAGATTGGGAATTCCAATTTTATGAACGACGAGGTAATGAGGTCATATTTTTTCAAGTCACAGATTAATCTGCAACATGAATTTTTGAGTTTTTTGCAAGAGCTTGACAGATATTGAATATAAAAACGGATGATAAACAATATCGCAGTATGTATTTTTTGAAATAATTAATGATGCACAGAGAATTTGTAACATTTGAAGGAAGATTTTTCACAGTTCCTCATACTTTTGTAATCTCTCCATTTAATGATAGAGTCGAATATTTCTTAATTTGATTTCTAAATCTTTTAGGAGACAATATAATTACTTTTGATTTTTCTGGATTTAATCTAAGATTATGAATTTTTGCATACTTATGGACAGATCTCAAGTCTTCATTAATTTGAGCCTCAGTCAGCTATTATCATATTGTCAGTATTCAAATTATTGTACAGAGACTAATAAAGTATATATGTATATCTGCGATTCATCCACAAAAAGCTGAATATTGCAGTGTTCAACAACCTTATCAAGATCAGAGATATATGAAATAAAAAGAAGTGGCTCAATGAAACCATAGTAACCAAAAAATCCTTAAAATTACCAGGAACAACCTAGTTCTGAAAATTATTAATCCATTACTCTGGTTCCGTCATTTGAAAAATACAGTCATTCTGATTCGTATTTAGTAACCAGAAAAACCCTTAGGTATGAATTTTCCAGTTACTCATAAGTTTTCCAAATTTGGGGAGTGATGGCTGTAGGGTAAATCGACAAAGACAGTATTTTTTTCTTAAACAGCTCATATTATTGATGTCAAGCAACTTACTAGCTTAGAATCGCTAAAAACACGACTCTATATACTATAGGGTATAAAAGAAACGTTAAGGCTAACGGCGCTGCTGACGATCCGAAGAAATTGTGTTCTATAAACATCAATATGAAAGTGCATAATTGGTTACTTTACTGTCAAGAAATCATCTAGTAATACAATACCTTTGTGCTACTTAACAAAAAATATCCTTCAGATGCATCCACCATGGACATACAGGTATGCCTATGTATGGCAGCCTGGCATTATGTATAAAAACGTTTCATATTACTTTTGTGTTCTACATAAATTGAGAACGATAGAGCACTGTATGTATCACTAATAAAGATGTTGGCCCTAAAAGAGTTTCAATTTTAACTTTTTGTAAAGACTCATAACTCTACTTTTGCCGCAATGAAACTAAATACTTTATAGTTTATATTGCGTAAACTGTCGGAGAGTTGGTCGGTTGGTGCAACGCGCTCGAAATTCACTAGAAAAGTTTTTATTAAATGTTCTCGGGGTGGCCGCTGCAGTAAATCAAATTGTTCAAACTTGAACGGTGGCTACAGCCCACGTTGCCATATAGGTTTTATGTACCAAAGTTTCCTTTCAGACTGTGAAATACCGTCCGGTGCGTTATATGTCGCAAAAAAATGAGAAGTTAGGTTGTAATGGGAAAACTTCCAGAAAATACGCTCAATATGAGTGTTTGTAGTTTTCGAGAGTCTAGCTTCTATTAGCAATGCCGAACCTTAAAAAAAGTTTTCACACATCCGTATATCATACGCATCGAACAGTTTGCCCCAACAAAGTCTGGCCACGGTGCAATATTAATTTCAATGTTTGACTTGGCATTGAAACTTATTCGCTATTGCAATGAATATTCACTGACAGTTACCTTCCCGCACTATTATATGATCCACCAGAAAACCAGACAAATGTTAACTTTGATTCGTAGGGAGCATGCCATATTTTTTAGGTCACCATTTTTAGATTCTATGTAGAATATGTAAAATAGAATGGAACATATTATTGTTTGAAGAAAATCAGATCTGCCCTCAAAAATGATTCTATAGTTTTAATAAAATCACTCCTATATATCATCATCAAATTGTCACCGTCATCGTACGGCCGCTATTTCTGTGTGTGGGTAGCGTTGACTCCAATGGCAATAAATATAGTGACGTACCTTGTAATAACAGGACTGACGTCACTGATTAAGCTTAGATAATACTGACAAAAGCGTCAACTGTTGTCTTGTGTGCTGCAATAGCTATGGCCTTTCAAACCAGACACATTGTCTAGATCAGGGCTGTCCAACACACGGCCCGCGCGCCGCATGCGGCCCGCGATCTCCTTTCTAGTATAGTATATACCTATGAAAACTCAGTAATAATGTTGTATAGAAAGATTTTATAATGCGGCCCTCCAAACTGTATTTTTTTTTGAAGTGGCCCTTGGGCCACATTAAGTTGGACAGCCCTGGTCTAGATGCTTTGTGATTGTTCCAATATCTAATAGAATATCTGCATACGTTTTTCAAATAACATAAGTGTCTTACGTATATAGATGTTATTTCATTATCTAATATTTAGTAGAATATTTGGAGACGCCTTACAAATCGGTATCTACTTATCTGTACTTTGATATGATTTGTCAATACCTTTAATCTACAGATTGCGTTTCTTCTTGTTTTTAGACTAGTGTCATCATCAAGCTTTCTTGTTCTAACAAAGGTTTGCGCATATTCTACTACAGTCTTTTGCTTGCTTTGCCATGATAAAGTACTTTCATATGTGTAGATACTTGTATGTGTTTTATCTGATCTAAGTACATAACTTATACAGTATCTACATCTATATAAGTTTGCCATTGTTTTTTACTATAGTCAAGTCAAATTCACTTACGCTTACACAGCAACACGACTGATAGTTCGATATCTGGAGGTCAAAATCACCACTCGCAAACAGTTTTCCCATCCACGAGTAATATAAAGACAGTTGCGTACAAGGATGCCATAACTGTGACTCAACGTCAAAAGGAACACTGTATGTGAGAAGTAATCTTGACACTCGGAAATCGAAATATCAGTCCTTGATCCCATCGAAATCTGTATGTGAGTAAGCAGTATAAAGATTACCGATCATTGTGGGCGTGGTTTTGTTACCTTTCGGGGAACTCTATCCCTGAATACTGATACAAGGTCTTTAATATATCTGATAGGCGATTGCCGTCCGATTTAACATCATTTTTGATCATTGGATAACTCTATTAACAATACTATAGTACTCACTAAGCTTGTTGTTTATTATAGAGACGTTATGGTTGTTGTGTGACTACTCCTTCGGAAGTTGAGGATGAGACTAGTTGGAAACCCGTTGACCTTTCTCTCTATATGACATGACTAAGCCCATTTTGGCCTTAGCTATTTTATTTTTTCAGTGATATCGATTTCATTCTGTTCATTTTAATATTGTCATTGTTACATAGCAAACAGGTTTCACGAATCTTAGTATGTTTTGTGAGATCTAACATCGCCTTCAGTTGGAATTTGCAAGGTGTCACTCAAAATCATGAAATAAAATGAAAATAAAAATAATCAGTGAAATAACCTAACTTCTCAAAATCATAATATAAATTTGTTGTCATTATATTCCTGAAATCGTGATTTTATCATCGACGTACGCCCATTGATTACTTCAGCACAATTTAGGTTATGACGTAATAGTCATCTTTCGTGATTTTGACTATATTATACATATTTACTTCATATCTTTTCTCCACATCCCCACATCCCTTCCCCAGTATCTCCACTTCCGTTTGCCGTATAGTAACGTCCTTGGAACTGGATTTTGTTTTAGTGCAATGCCGAGCAACTCTCAATAATTACTGATTTACGCCGGAACTTTGGCTATATGCAAAATGGTACCGATTCTCGTGCAGCAAAACTATTCAACTTTGAAAGTTTCAGAATGGGGAATACTATTCTTTACAGATAACTAACCGAAGCAATTCTATCTGAGACTTGGAAAGTTACACCAAGTTTGTACTCAATTCGTAAATCATATATATATATATATATATATATATATATTTTTTTTTGTCGAAGTACCCAACAAAAGGCGGAAGCTTTAATTTTTCACCTATATATATATATATATAAGAAAAGGGAACGAAGATGGGAGGAGAAAAAATCACTCACGAAGTCCACAACAAGAGCCAACCTACACACTGCAGTTTCCTCAGGTTATCCGTATCCGGATGTATGGGCGTGTGTATCTACTTTTGTAATTGCATAGGTGCATTCATTTAGGGCCTGATAAAGCCAACCAGCAGAAATACGTATCGCTCGGATTACCTATCCTTTTTTTGTACTCGAATCCACTTTCCTTCGATTTGCGGATTTTCCCCATTATTTTCCTATTTTGTGTTATATACCTTTCTCCGCATGATATTTTTTTCTTTATATATATATATATATATATAACTAGAGGCGTTTGGTCATTGTCGTCTAGACCAGTGAAAATTAAAGCTTCCGCCTTCTGTTGGGTACTTCGACAAAATTTAAGCAAGGAGGACTCTTTATACTTTTTTAATCTCTCTAACTTTTAATGGTCTTTGCCATCATCATCAGGAGCTGCAATTACATTGATAAAAGTAGCAACAATTGTGTAAAAAGAATTTAAAATAACTTACAGTAGTATGTGAGGATGTTGCTAAACGTTATTTACGTTAAGGATGAGGGAAACACCCTGTAACATGGTGAAAGCTGGATACATGGTACAATGATCAAAATTATACAAACTACACACAGCTGTATGACAAGAACAAATTAAAAACAGATTAAAAATATTTAAAACGAAAGTTAAGCATTACTTCGTGAAGCCACTTGATGATTGCATAAAATGGTGGGCATAGAATCATGAGTAAGATCAACCTTTTGACAGATGGCCGAAG